TCCCTTGGGTCCACGTGACAGGGGTGAGGAGTGAGCACCACCTCACCCCTGCCACATGGACCTCAAGGGATAAACCATCAATCCTGAGGGAGGGTTAAAAGAAAAAACACATCTAGCTATTACAGTTTGGCCGCCTCTCATCAATGGAAGCAAACTTACAAAATTTTAATAAAATAGAAATAAATTTATATAGACATGTTGGCAAATTTCCTTAAGAAAATGAGGGAAAACAAAAAAAATCTATTTTAAAGTCAAGGTCAAGCAACTTTAGATGATATCAAAAGGGTCTACGTGCAAGAGAATGAAATCCCATAGTGCAAGCAGACAATGTCCACATATGTGGACACAGGGCCCTAGGAGGTTAAAGACCGGACCCTTAGATGAGCTGCAGCGCTTTTACCAAATCACGCCAGAGTCTCGTGAAGCTGACTGAAGGAAGGAGGAACAACCGAAGGTGGTTCAGAATCTTCTGTTGGGCCTTTTCCAGTTTGTTAGACCTTCCGTCGCGCTGCTGTCCACGACCTTAGCCCTTTATCCAAACCAACATGGTAAATCAAAATCATTTTTGCATTTTTAAAATTTCATTGGGGTCAATGAGAGTTATAATATAATGTTAATGTAAGAAAATGATGAAATAATGGACTTGTTCTTCAAACTTCTTTACGTTTATTATTTAGTTTTACTTACAGTTAAGATATAAAGACTAAAATGTGCTTTACCAGGTCGATGACCTCCCAAGCCAATTGATGTAATTTTGGACTCATTTTTCACAATGAAACGAAACATAATCTAATTTTATTTCTGTAACAGGAGTCAGACTCGTCTGAATCAGGGATCCGGCCTGCGTCACCCTCAGTGGTATTTGTTTTTAGCCGTTGATCAAACCTTACATTTTCAGTCGGTTTTCTTCCTTTTTTTCTGTTGTGTGTTTGCCAGAAACGTGAGCTACTAAGTAACGAGCGGAGCACCAACATCCTGGCTGACTCTGGTTTAAGTTTAATGGTTAAAAGTTTTATTGACTTTGTTGATAAAATGAAACTTCATCAGACAGAAATGAGCGTTTGCTTTCTGGAGTTTTGCGGAGTGTGAATTAGTGAATCTGGTTCAGATCACGTTGACGTGTGACGGGAGACAACTGGGTGTTCGGATCTACGTTGATGTCCATATGCTGATACTGGGGCTGACATGACAGCTACATTATTATTATTATTATTATTATTATTATTATTATTATTATTATTATTATTATTTGCCCTGCATGGTAGAGGTGAGGGTTTCACACTACTGAGGTGACCTCGGCATCATCACCTGCTTTACCAGAACTGCATAATAAACAATAACATTGCCTCTTAATTAACTAGCTGCCTTCCATGCATCCATGAAGATTCCCAAATAGATAAACGGACACAACAGTGACCTTTCTATCACGACATGTGAAAGTAATTATGAGAAGAAACATAATAAAACAACTGCAGCAGATTTAAAAACGTGTTTCATTTATAAATTTGACTCAGATTTTTTTAGTCATACAAAAGTAAAATATTCAAATTGAACATTTTTATACAGAAGCAGGTAAAAGTCGTGTTGGCAAATCCAGGTTCTGTTCTGTTTATTATGAGTCCCCATCAAACGACTCCGATCATTATTCTAATTATTTAATCATCTGACACACCTGTGCCCGTTAGTGTGCATTTACGACATTATTTATCGTTCCTTTATAGCCACGAGAAAGTGTAAAGCACCAGGCTAAACGGATGGATGGTGGTGTTCTCTTTTAGGGCTTGTTCAGGTGATTTTATTTAATATTTTAAATTCAGCGTATTTAAGTTCTTTGGTGTCTTGTGTCGAAGCAGTGCCTCCTCAACTCCCCCTCAGCTCCACACCTGTCCTTTTCAGTCCGCCATGCCAGCTGTTTGTTTCCATTGATGCATTTGTTTTGTTCCATCTTTTCTGAGGTCCTTTAAAACCCAACATCCCATCAAAGCTGCTAAAATGTCTTCATGTTTCTACTTTTCTATATTTACTTCATTACTACATGATGAGTCATGACTTTCCTGCTCGTACATCAGATGATCTAAGTTGCAAGAACATTGTTTTGAACTCAAGAAAGGAGTTAAAGACCAAAAGAACGCATTAATGACATTAATGTCCTTGGGCAAGACACCTAACCTGCCTTGCCTGCAACAGCCTAAGTCAGTGCGTTCCAGGGCAGCTTAGGATATACCGTAGCTCATCCCTACCAGTGTGTGAATGGGTGGCTAAAGAAATACAGGCCATTTACCATAATATTTATGGTATTTATAATATTTCCGTTTATTTCTTGTGATTATCTGTTTCAATTTTGCAGTTTTATCTCTGCTTTTAGTGTTTTTTTTTTTTTGTTTTTTTTTATGTGCATGCCTGTGCAGCAGTTTGGACAGTGCTCATGCTATATTTGAAATGTGCTATATAAATAAAATAATATGGTATGGATCTTCCATTTGGATTTCTCTATAAAGCTCAAACTTAACAGACTTCAACTATAGCCAATTATGGCGGTTTAATTTAAAGGTGTGGATCACTGAAAAGACATTTTTTAATTAGTTCTGATTATAATCGGTCACTCTGAGTTTTCATGCAGGCTGAAGATGAAAATAGTCTCCTACACCTATCTCCTGCATTATCTTCTGATAGAAAACACACGGTGAAACTCTAGGATTGGAAAAGCCTGACAGTTCTACATCTTACGTCACTTAACGTCCATGAACCACCCGCGAGTGAAGGAAAACTGGAGCGCGAGATCGATAGGTGGATTGGTGCTGCGTCTGCAGTGATGCGGGCGTTGTACCGGTCTGTCGTGGTGAAGATTTTAAGGTTCTTCTAATGGTTTTTAAGTGTCTTAACGGTCTTGGGCCTTCTTATCTCTCAGAACTGCTTTTACAATATGAACCCTCGCGGCCTCTGCGCTCCTCTGGCAGGCGTCTCCTGGTCATCCCTAAAGTCAGGACACAAACTCACGGCGAGGCGTCCTTCCAGTGTTATGGCCCTCGCCTCTGGAACGAGCTGCCAGAGGACCTCAGGGCCGCAGAGAACGTTCATGTTTTTAAGTCAAGACTCAAGACCCATCTTTTTAAGTTAGCTTTTATCTAAATATTTACTACAGTTTTATTTCTTGTTTTACATGATTATATTTTATTACTTGCTTTGCATGTTCTATATAATTATATTTTAGCACAGTTTTATTATTAAATTATTATTTTACTGTCTATATCATTTTATTTATTACTTATTTTCTATTTTTTGTCATTTATATTAGCTCTTTTATTACATTTTTACTCATTTTAATCCAGTGTTTCCTCTGTAGGGGCCCTCTGCCCCGGGAGCGGTGGTCGACTGTAGCTTCCTGGACGCTCTATAGGTGGGGGTCTATGCTCCCCCTCCACTGAGCGCCCTGACTTAGTGTGGAAGACCTGATGCTGCCGGGGCAGACGGCTCCTCTGATGGCGTTTCCTTGCGTTACCATACTTGGCACATCTGGACTCAGCCTAATATAACTTTTACTGGTGTGTGTGTGTGTGAGTCTGTGTGTGTGTGTGTGTGTGCGTGTGCGTGTGCTTGCATATGTTTGTTAATGTTTTTAACCTGTTATGGGAATCTGGGGTCATTTTGTAAAGCACTTTGAATCACACTTTGTTTGAAAAGCGCTTTAGAAATAAAATTTGATTGATTGATTGATTGAAGAGAGAGCTGAGTCAGAAGGCGAAGCTCTTGATTTACCGGTCGATCTACGTTCCTACCCTCACCTATGGTCATGAGCTTTGGGTAGTGACCGAAAGAAGTCTGGGCCTCTTGACTTAGGCTGCTGCCCTCGCGCCCCGACTCTGGATAAATGGATGAAAATGGATGAGTGGATGGACTCACTCATCTTGACTCACGACGGGGAAGGCTGATTTAACGTCCAGGAAACAGCAGAGAACGTCTCGACTAGTCGAAGCTAACATTAGCATTAGCAACTACACCACATGGCAAAACTCCTCCAGGCTCATGTTATTTGTGGAGATAAAACATCAACATTGCAGAGCAAACAGAGTCAGCAGTAGAGTTGTGCTGTTATTAGCCAACCAGAGACGAGATGTCCAAATATGATAAATGGTAAATGACCCCCACTTGTATAGGGCCTTTCAGAGTCAGAGGAGTCCAAAGTGCTTTACACTACAGTGTCATTCATTCATTCACACACACACATTCACACACCGTCAAATATCAGGAAATTAGAGACAACTGCAAATGTAATGATTAAACAAATGATCCACACCTTTAACGTGACTTATTGAAGGCAGTGAGTCTATTTCCAGTCAGATAAACAGAGATTAGGCTACATGATATAAGATATGATATCAGAGGCACAAACTGTGTGACTAAATAAGTGTTTTTTCAAAATAACAGAACACTTACATTTATTGTGTCTGATATAATTATAGAACATGTTCAACAACATTATTTCTCCCATAATGCACCTGCATAGTTCCATGGATGACACCTATCATCTAAAACCTGTAGTCACTTCCTGTCTCGTCTGTCTTAGGATGCCCAACCCTTTGTGTGTGTGTGTGTGTGTGTGTGTGTGTGTGTGTGTGTGTGCGTGCATTTTTGTAGACGTGTTGGTGGGTGGGGCTGCTGCCTGTATAGAGGGTTCCCTGAACCTCGTCTTCGTCCTTCCTGTTTCTTTCTCTCATTTCCTGTCAGCTGACTCAGTCAGAGAATCTTTATCTGGTAAACATCTACCGCCTCTGCACACACGCCTTATCACCGTCTCCCGCGCGCGCGCACACACACACACACACACACACACACACACACACACACACACACACACACACACACACACACACACATTTTTATGACTGCAATTTATGAGTTGAACTTGTAGTTTTCTAAAGTAACCTACCATTTTAACTTAAAAAACATCTGTTTCAAATTTCTTGTAAACTTTAATAACAAGAAAAATAAAGGGCCACATTTGATGTTTGTGGGACTAAAACATTCAGGTGAAAAATCTTTTACAAGTTCATTAAAAGCCGGAGAGGTGATGTCGAAGGAGGACGGGTGTAGCACTTTTGAAAAGACAATAATAAAAAAAAAACAAAGAAGAAGACGGGACAACAAAAATAAGCATTCAGTGTAAAAAAATATATAGATGCAGTGTGATGAAAGGACAGGCAACGAGACGGAAAGAGATACAGAGAGATGGAGGAGGGGGGCAGAGAGATAAAGATAGCTGAAAGGAGGGAGATCCGTCAGCGTTTGTTTCCTCAGGATGTGGTTACCACGACGACACAAAGGCAGAGAGGCAACATCACTACCCGCTGGTCCTTTTTGACACCTGCGACAATGTGTAAGTATGAAAGTCAGGGTGTGTGTGTGTGTGTGTGTGTATGTGTGTGTGTGTGTGTGTGTGTGTGCTCTGAGTGGTTCTTTTGTGTGTCCATTATGATTGTTTGACAGATGCGAGTGTGTGTGTGTGTGTGTGTGTGTATGTGTGTGTGTGTGTGTGTGTGTGTGTGTGTGTGCGCGCGTGTCAGAGATCACAGTAAAAAGAAGCACAAATTGGAAGGAGAGTGTTAGAGGGTGACGAGCTAGAGACTCAGACAGGACGATGAAGAGAAGACGAAGCAGAAAACATGAAGAGCAGGAGAACGTATGTGAGAAGGTATCTAAGACTGGAAAACGAAAAGCCTCAGAAGAAGACACTGTATTTGTCTCTCCATCTCGTCTTGTTCTCTCTTTCTGACTCACTCACTGTCCTATTTAGAGCAGAATGTGGTTATAAGTCAGAGAGACGAGGCAGCAGAGCCGTGAAGGTCCACGGCTAACTCGGTTAGAATTTTAAAACTTCAAGACAAGCAAAGGAAGACAACCTGCCTTTCAAAGCGTCTTTAACTTCTTATTTGTATCTTTTTCTAAACATTCCTGCCCTTTTCTTTCTCGCCACACTCATCTGTGCTTTAGCTAGGTAGCATGTGCGCTCTCTTTATTTAACGTTCCAGTTCAGAAGATCCAGACGTGTTTCTTCTCTCCAAAAGCTAAAGCCTTTGTTAAAGTGGTGGTTTGACTTTTTACTTTGGTGTTTTGTGACAGCTCATTTAAACTTTGGAAGAGTTCGTTTGCAAAAACAAAAATAAGCCTTTTTTTAAATAAAATCTAAAAACTTTATTTTGACTAATATGGCACAAAGTAGTTTATAATAAAGTTTTTTTTATGTATAAATGGTAGTTTTATTTATTTTTATTTTATTTGCAAATGAACTCTTAATGTTCTCCCCTCTGTCTCAACATTTGGACACCAGGCTGACTCAGACTTAAACGTCTATGCTGATGACACCGTCCTGCACCGCTCTAACTCAGCCACCCTATCCTATGCAGCCGTCACAGCTCATGTGATATAAACTATACTGAAAATATTACAGATTATGTTAAGAAATGCAGAAATACAACAACTAAATGTTTATTTTACCTTTATCATTCACAGCTTTGTGATGTTTTCAATTCAATTCAATTCATTTCAATTCAATTCAATTCAATTCAATTCAAAGATACTTTATTAATCCCAGAGGGAAATTCGAGTTTCAGTACACACAATTCAGGAATCAGACATACATAGGCATAGACAGATGACAAGAATTGGTGCCTGTGGTCATTCGCAACCCTGAGTCACGCTACCTTAATAGAGATCAGAGGGTTTATATAACGACTGAGTCAGGCAGAGGTAAAAAAGGCACTTCAGAGTTACCCTCCACAGGGAGGGCAGCTTTGCTATGCAGAAAACATCTCAGACAGAAATGCAACAGACTTCAGACATTACATATCATAAGTGTCCACTAGGTGGGGAGGTAGGGTTTGGGACTCTTCACACGTCAGTGCATGCAGCCGCGATAAGCAGCGCTCGTCACCTCCGTTTGGACAGGGGAGGGAGGTAGTTGGGTTTAGAAAGCACAGTGACTCCTGGAAACGATTCGGCGGCCTTCACCGGTCACAATCCCGCCCAGGCTGGGATAGGGAGATAGAGTTGCCATGGCGATGGCAGCATTCCACATTTCTTCTGAGGGAGAGTAATCACTTCAGCCTCACAGGCTCCAGGGCACCAGATTCAGATAAGAACTTGTTTTGGGGCCAGACAGAGATAATTTCCTCTCTGTCTTAATGTTCCGTTGGTCCTCAACTCCTCTCAATCCAATAATGGCGTATTTAATCTATCCCAATCCATGCTGATATGTCAACTTTCTCCTTGATCGAATCCACCTTCTGTGCCAGATTCTGAATCTCAGCCAAAGTTCCAAGCTTACGACTCATCTCGACAATTACATGAGTTTGTGCGTTTACAGCGCAGTGTAATCCATCCCTGAGCTCCGGGATTGAGCCAATATTCCTCGAAAGCTCATTAATTTTCCGGTAAGCCAGGTAACCACTCAGGCCAAACAGCAAGAAACCTGACACCAACACCACGAATATCTAGACATCTTCAGAAACCTCTACTGACAGTTGAGAGAGGCAGATCAGGTTCCACTGTTTCCAGGAGTCCATGATATGCCCAGCTGGCTCTGTCCCATAGGGGCGTCCGGGAACCCATTCTCCAGTTCTCATCGTTGAAAAAATGTTGTCAATCGCATTGAGAGTCCAGCTGACCAGGTCCATTTTTAATAATTTCCAGTTTACAGAAAAAATGCAGAAGCGCCGTCCACCCAAAGACAGACAAAGAGCCTTGGGATAAGATAGGGAGGAGGTAAAAAGCGTCTGTATTCTCCTAGAACCAGAAGAAGAAGGGTTTTAGTTGCATTTATTCCGTCAGGAGACAAATATATCTCGTTTGTGCTACTCTTACATTTATTCTAGATTATAAAAATAGATTTTATCTATAACTATCCTTGGCACGAACTGGATGCATTCTTCTTTTTTAAAGCTAATTTATCCTGGAAATCGTTGGAATATTTTAAAGGTTAGAAACATATCTGAAAATGCTTTATTATTAAACCATAACTAAAATGAATAATAGCACAAGAAAATGTATTTTAATCAGGTGAAATGTTTATGTTTTTGTATTGAGCAGACGCTTTTGACCAAAGCGACTTACAAGTGATAATCGGCATGTTGCCCTTGAGGCTAAAAACAACAATAACACCAACAACTTGACATCGGTCATGGAGAGGAGGGAACAAGGAGTGGACAGTAGAGAGGGGGGGACGGGTACAGGGAGGGTGCTAGTTTAGAAGATGCTCTCTGAAGAGCAGGGTCTTCAGGAGTTTCTTGAAAATTGAAAAGGAAGCTCCTGTTCTGGTAGTGCTTGGAAGGTCATTCCACATTTGTGGAACGATGCATGAGAAGAGTCTGGATTGTCCTGAGCGTGGTGTAGGCACTGCTAGTTGACGATCCGGTGATGACCGGAGCGGCCGGGCCGAGACGTAAGCCTTTGCAAGAGGATTCAGGTAGATGGGAGCCGTACCATCTCGGACTTTGTATGCTAGTGTTAGCAATTTGAATTTGATGCGTGCTGCTAGCGGTAGCAAGTAGAGCTCAATGAACAGAGGGGTGACGTGTGCTCTTTTTGGCTGATTGAAGACCAAACGCGCCGCTGCGTTCTGGACCATTTGAAGAGGTCTCACAGTACAGGCCGGAAGACCAGTTAGAAGGGCATTGCAGTAATCGAGGCGGGAGATGACAGCAGATTGCACCAGGAGCTGGGTGGCATGTTGTGTTAGGTATGGTCTGATCTTTCGTATGTTATACAGCGTAAAGCGGCATGAACGAGCAACAGAGGCAACATGATCTTTAAAGGTCAAGTGTTCATTAATCACAACACCCAGATTTCGAATTTTGATATGTCAGAGAGACAGTTTGATATTCGTGCAGAGACAGTGTGGTCGTCCGGTGGAAATGACAGGTAGAGCTGGTTGTCGTCTGCATAGCAGTGGTAGGAGAAGCCATGTGATCGAATGACTCACCCAGTGAGGTGGTGTATATGGCAAAGAGAAGAGGTCCTAGTACAGAGCCCTGGGGGACTCCTGTGGCAAGATGGTGCACGGTAGAAGATTGTCCAAACCAAGATACGCTGAATGATCGTTCTGTGAGGTACGATTCAAACTAGGCCAGAAATAATGTGTCAGAGCACATACACCATTAATGGAAACGGGGTTTGAGTTTTATCCTGACAAACGTGTAAAAATCATAATAATTAGCTCTTTACGTGATTTTTTTTGTTTGCATTGTTGGAACATGATTACTGATATCACTGATACTGAATCCTTTTATGAACCCCGGTCACCTTCTGCTTACGATGATTATGAGACAGGATAAAAACGATTATTTATAAAGGCAAAGGGCTTCAAAGTTCTAACAAGTTTGATAATGAGAGATTCTCGATGATTTACATAATCTATAAATCTCAATCTGCATAAACTTTATTTATTATTGCTGAGCTTATGCCTCAGTACTCCTCAGCCGTCTGCTGTCAGTGAGGATATTTAATAAATAAAATCACGTAAAACTTTTGAAACGTTACTCCTCGGAGCGTGAGATCAGGAGCTTACTTAAGGTTTAGGACCTGCTGCTGCAGAAGATCAGTCCTCCACCACCATGTCAGCCAGTTTCTAATGACACCCTGAGTTCCTGCGGCCCGTCGGCGTTTCACGTTTGTGTTTCGGCATCTCCGGTTAGATCAAATCATAGAGCAGTGTGTTTGTGAGTCTAAGTACAGCTTTTGTTGTGTAGAAACCGTCTAAAGGCTCACATGTTTGGAGTGTGTTTTCATGCTGTGATTTTCTGATTTGTTACCACGTACCTTTCTTTCTGTTTCCTTTAGACCTTTTAGCCAAACAAACCTCGGTATCATGGAGGATCGCTCATCCTTCGCCAACCTCCAGCACCCCCGTCTCCGCCCATCCTTTTCTCTGACTGTGCACGGCTTCCAAAGCTCTGAAGCCGGATGCCCGACCTCGCAGCCTGCTCAAGATTCCCTGGAACATTACGGGACCAGAGAACAGGAATCCCCAGCCTCGTTCCTGACATCAAACGTCTCCTCTGGGCCCAGAAGGATGAGCAGTTTGGATGGAGATGCTGGTTTAGGAGGTCACTTTGATGACTCCTGGTATGCAAGGGAGGGAATGTGGGATGACGGGGAGAGCGGTGAAAGCACGGCGGAGGATTTTCACGGTAAAAGTTACGCAAACGATGCTTTTTGCATGATGAGTTGTGGTGCTGAGGAGGAGGACAGATGGAGGATCCGATCAAACCTGAGCAGTTGTGGAGGCTGTGAGGATAAGAGTGATGACAGCAGGCCGGCGTTCACTACGCAGGAAGTTTCCTACAACAGAGCAGGAAGCTTCAGCGGCACGACCAACTCAAAGCTCAGCCAGTACACAGCAGGAGACGAGGACTACGGGTCCAGCTGCGGGTCGGCGGAGGATCAGCTTCAGCCAGCAGAAGCTGAGGGCTCCTGGATCTCTGGCTCTCGTACAGGAGGGACTGAGGTCAGAGGTCAGCCAGAGGGCAGGTGGAGGGGACCCGCAGACAGCCACAGTTTGTCCTCCGGCTGTGTCTCACAGATGTCCCCTGTGGACATCAGCAGCAGGACGTACACTCAGAAACTGGACTCCTTCTCCGAAGCGTTCCTCTCCCAGAAGAAAAGAAGATTCCAGACTCTTGGAGTGGATTCCTCTGGGCAAATCTGGGAAAATGGAATGGGAACAGCTGGAATGATCAAATCCATTCAGAGCTGTGCGTTTGACTCAGACTCCGGCCTGCCTCCCTCCTCCTCCTCCTCTTCCTCCCCTGCCTGTCCCTCTCTTCTGCCCTTCCCCTCCCCTCCCACATCATCTCACCTCATGTCTTCGGTTCTTAGTCCTCCTCCCACACCGTTACCTCCTCCCTCCCACTCGCCCTCCAAAACGGACTCTCCCAGCACCCAGGGAGGCAGCAGACACCCCGAACCTCCAGGCGGGCTTCAGTTTTTCTCATCCCACATGCCTTCCATGCACTCCTCTGGAATGATCTGGAAGTTCCCTCTGCTGTCCCACTGCATCCCACAGCCGTGGACAGATCCCAGCAGCACCGTAGACTCCAGCCGGATCCCAGGTGGGCGTATTTTACCCCCTTAAAGACGCGGATGCAAGTTAAAACCCTCATGGTAATTTATGGGTTACTGTAGGTGTGACACCCCCCCCCCCCCCCCCCCCCCCAAAAGAAAATGGAAGTTTCGGGTTTTCACACATTTAAACCTTGTGACTTTTTTTTCTTCTTTCTCATTTTTTTCACGTTTCGAAACTTTTACGTCACTTCCCAGATCGCTCGGAGTGTATTTTTAGTTCAGAAACAAGTTGTGACTGGTTGCACGGTGGCACAGTGGTCAGCGCTGTTGCCTTGCAGCAAGAAGGTTGTAGGTTCAAATCCTGACCTGGGATCTTGCTGCAATGGAGTTTGCATGTCCTCCCCGTGCATCTCTCCGGGTGCTTCCTCCCACAGTCCAAAAACATGACTGTCAGGTTGACTGGTCTCTGTAAATTGTTGCTAGGCATGGACGTAATTTTGGGGGGGACAGGGGGGACATGCCCCCCCCCCCCCCCACTTTTTCCAAAGTCAAGTTTTGACCCCTGTACTTTTTACCATCCAAAAACAATATTACGCTATACTAAACTGACACTGTTTGAGCTCTAGGAAAAGCGGAAAACAACCATTTGTGTTGAAGCCTGTTTCTGTTTTCCGGATGAACGCTAGAGATAGGCACCCTGCCCGGACAAGCGGGCGTAGAAAGTAGATAGATGGAAACAAGTTCTCACAAGAATCGATCAGATGATAAATGTGTGAACGTTTTAAGCGTCGCAGACATCAGAGCAGATTTTAGTCTGTTTTTGTTTCTCTGTTTGTCATCCTGTTGTTTACTCTCTCTTTTAAATGCCATCTTGTTGTTTCCCCTCCTCCAGCCTCCTCCACCATCCTTCAGCCTCCTGGATCACCGTCACTCACCTCTCCATCCCTCCACTCCTCCGGAGCTTTGTCTTCCTCCTCTTCATCCCTTAACAGTTTTTGTCACCTTCCCTTCCTCCCTTTTCCTGGCGAACACCAGGAGACGACTGAAAGGACAAGCGTGTGCAGCGTCAGCCGGACAGTGAAGAGTGAGGCGGTCGCTCCGGACCGGTCACAGATTCGGGTACCGCACCGGGGTTTTTGTTCGTCATGTTAATAGGGTCTGCATGTTTTATCCTCTTTTCTGCAATTTTTTTGTAGGAAAATTGAAGCATCAAGTGAAAAATGGCTGATTTTCTGACCAAAACTGATGCTATCTCAGGTTTAGAAGCAGGCTTTTAACAGGCCGGACCCCAGCTCTGCACTCTGCTGGAACTTTTACACCAGCAGGCAGGGGGAGCTGTGGGCGAACGTCTGAATGGCTGTTTGTCACGAACTGACGTTAGCTCCAGCTGCTTGTAAAAGCCACAGACTTAATCCAGGCTTTTATTTTTAGAAACGCCGAACAGATCAAAATGAGACACCCCTGGAGTCTGTGAAAACATGTTGTTCCACTTTTGGGTTAGGTGGGATGCTCCCGCCTCAGAACAAGGCCCGTGTCCGCTAATACCAGGGGGTGGAACTCTGTTCTAGTGGAAAATAAAACTCATTTGATTTTTTTTATTAAGAGCAAATTTTTCTTAGGATATTTTTGCAAGTTTTCTGGTTTTTCCTACAAAAGCAGCAGCAGAAATAGACTAAAATGATGCTTTTTGTGTGTTTTTGCAGCCACAAACTCCTCCAGTTTACACTGGCAGGCCGTTTCCCAGCATCCTTCACTCCAGAAGGTCTCAGAAACGAGGTCGCTACACCCCACCCCCGCTTCTCAGTCCAGTCCGCAGGGGCCCGGGACTCTATTCCTCCCTCTCTCTTCATCACAGAGAGGAAGAAACCCCGTGTGGAGAGGAGGTGGAGGAGGAGAGCAGAGGGTGGGTGAACTCCAGAAACATCCTTAATATGGGGCGACGGTGGCACAGGAGTTAAGTGCTCGCCTCGCAATCGGAAGGTCGCAGGTTCGAGACCCGCTCAGTCTGTCGCTGTCGTTGTGTCCTTGGGCAAGACACTTAACCCACGTTGCCTGCTGGTGGTGGTCGGAGGGACCGGTGGCGCCAGTGCTCGGCAGCCTCGCCTCTGTCAGTGCGCCCCAGGGCAGCTGTGGCTACATCGTAGCTCATCCCCACCAGTGTGTGAATGTGTGTGTGAATGGGTGAATGACTGATTGTGTTGTAAAGCGCCTTGGGGGGTTCCAGGACTCTAGAAGGCGCTATATCAAATACAGGCCATTTACCATATCTAAAGAGGAGCAACAATGAGCTGATATTAATGTTGTTTCCTTCAGATACGTCAACATCGGTCCCGACTTCCAGGCAGAGCTTCCTCCCTGTCGGGTGGCCCATGAGTGGTCGGGTGTGTGGCTCACAGAGGACGACTCCCCTCCAGAGGAGTTGCTATGGAAACCATCAGAGGAGCTGACCGAGAGTGATACATTACAAAGCCAGGGTAACGACCATTAAACCTGTTGCATCATCCTGACGCTAAAGCCGCAGCAGAGTCATAAAAGTGGAACAAACTTGTTTGTTTTTATAGTGGAGAAGCTGTTGTCTGTGTGTAGTTCCAGCTGCCTACCAGGAGGGGGCAGAAACACAGATCTCGCTCTGCACTGTCTGCACTACTGTCAGGGCGACACCATGGTAACCCGTCTGTCTCGTCTGATTATTTACCATCTTCTTGGTTTTTATTTGCTTCTGATGGTTGTCTCTGTGTGTCCCCTCTGTCACCAGGCCACATTAGAGATGCTGTTGTTTTCACACCCGTCCCCAACAGGAGACTACCACTATTCAGGTGACCTTTGACCTCACAGAAGCCGATCACAACTTTTTCAATCAATCAATCAGATTTATTTATGAAGCACTTTTCAAACAAAGTGATTTATAAAATGACCCCAGATTCCCATAACAGGTTAAAAACATTAACAGACATATGCAAGCACACACACGCACACACACACACACGCACACGCGCACACACACACACACACACACACACACAAGTAAAAATTATATTAGGCTGAGTCGAGATGAGCCAAGTAAGGTAAGGCAAGGAAACACCATCAGAGGAGCCGTCTGCCCCGGCAGCATCAGGTCTTCCACACCAAGTCAGGGCGCTCAGTGGAGGGGGAGCATAGACCCCCACCTCCACTCAAACACTACCTATGGAGCGCCCAGGAAGCTACAGTCGACCACCGCTCCCGGGGCAGAGGGCCCCTACAGAGGAAACACTGGATTAAAATGAGTAAAAATATAATAAAAGAGCTCATATAAGGGACAAAAGTTAGAAAATAAGTAATAAATAAAATCACATAGACAGTAAAATAATAATATTCAATAATAAAAAGGTTGAGCGGGTTGTCCAGTAATCGGAATCTGGTGCAGGTTTGATCCCGGCTCCGGACAGAGAATTCTGCTGTTGTGTCCTTGGGCAAGACACTTAACCCACCTTGCCTGCTGGTGGTGGTCGGAGGGACCGGTGGCGCCTGTGCTCGGCAGCCTCGCCTCTGTCAGTGCGCCCCAGGGCAGCTGTGGCTACATCGTAGCTCATCACCATCAGTGTGTGAATGAGTGTGTGAATGGATGAATGATACACTGTAGTACAAAGCGCTTTGGAGTCCTTACTCTGAGAGGCGCTATACAAGTGCGGGTCATTATCATTATCATAAAACAGTGCTAAAATATAATCATATAGAACATGCAAAGCAAGCAATAAAATATAATCATGTGAAACGAGAAATAAAACTGTAGTAAATATTTAGATAAAAGCTAACCTAAATAGACGGGTCTTGAGCCTGGACTTAAAAACATGAACGTTCTCTGCGGCCCTGAGGTCCTCTGGCAGCTCGTTCCAGAGGCGAGGGCCATAACACTGGAAGGACGCCTCGCCGTGAGTGTGTGTCCTGACTTTAGGGATGACCAGGAGACGTTTCATTTCTCTGACTCCTGATCAAACTGTAACGGCGTGTTTTACCACCACCATGCCAGATGACAACGAGCCCTCGTGGCTAAATCTGCAGCAATTACTAGCTAAACCCATTTAAAATAATGTGCACAGTTCCTATTTAGTTGATGCATAAAATAAAACACTGCGACTGGCCAAAGAGCTGCACAGAAATGAATAACAATCTATCTAAAATATTAGAAAAGACAAAGCAGTTATAGGTAGTGGACGATACTCAGAACTGGTGTTTATGTGTTGATGGTGCTGACGTGTAGGTCCCGCCCACTCACCTGCAACCCTCATGGTGAATAGCAAATTCTACCTTATCATCTTATAAATATGAACAGTTGGACATAGATCGGAACTATGTGAGTCAACAGAGGTCAACATGTATCTGAGTGATTTTCATATTTCTTAAAAGTCCCATTTGTTTGCACAGAAGGGGACTGGGCTTGACGTGTGTACTGGAACAATCCACTAGGGGGCAGTCTTCAGTTCCTGCTTACAAAAACTGCAATAATAATTACAGTAAATCCTCTAATACAGGCCCGGGCCTGTATTTGACTCAAGCTCACCAAGCTCCGGGCCTTTATTGGAAGGAGGACCAGAATTAGAGGCAGACCTCTATTTCTATTTGAGCAAAATGAACTAATGGTTCGCTGGAGTTTTTGACAATTAAAATTGCGCCCACAGTTTCAAAGTTAAACACATTTCTTTTAACAACGGTAGTTTCTGCTTCAGCCCTCTCCCCCCCTCCCCCTGCTTCAGCCCTCTCCCCCCCCCCCCCCTGCTTCAGCCCTCTCCCCCCCTCCCCCTGCACAGCGGCCGCAAACTCACTGATGCGCCTGCAGCCTCTCGGAGTTCCTGCTGCTCTAAACATTAAAATAATTATTTCATTTTCTGTTCCTCACTTCTGATTACCTTCAGTGGTGTCTGTTTGTTGCAACCAGCAGGTACAAAAACTAACTTGTTTTTATTTGACTATTTTTCTGTCCTGCCTGTTTATTATCTTCCTGCATCTCCTCTCAATCCTAAAGAGAAACTGCTACCTGGGTTCATATATATTCACCTTATGAGTTACCTTTGAACTGCAGTTCTAAAAGATCTACCGACCGCTAAAACAGCGGAGTGCTCGCTGCTTGGTGGCCCTATCAGTGATCGGTGCGTCACCGGATGACAAGGTGATGCGCCCCGCTCCACAGCGAACCGCATCAGGCGCAAATAAAAGACAGAAAACATCAAAGGAAATGAACCGACATGAACGATCGCGTGTTAAATAATTTTTTTGAGGTGGCGACACCTGATTGTTACTGTGGCCATGCTCAGGAGGCAGATCTACCGACCGCAAAAACAGCGGAGTGCTCCCTGCTTGGCGGCCGCATCAGTGATCAGTGCGTCACCGGAGGACAAGGTGATGTGCCCCGCTCCACAGCAGCGAAACACATCAGGCGCAAATAAAAGACAGAAAACATTAAAGGAAATGAACCGACATGAACGATCGCGTGTCAGTACCGATGCTCTGGCACAGCTTCATCTCCGCATGGTTAAAGTTACCCTCGCGGTCTATCACTGGCAAATCAAACGTGAGACGATGACACAACCGCCCCCCGTACTTGCTTGTTATCACATTCCACCCGGCCACTATAAGAGACCGGCCATTATTCACCTCCGGCACCGGCCAAAATTGGAGACCCTGCCTTTAATTGAATACCGGCCTGTATTAGAGGATTTATGGTATAATAATTAAAAAAAATTAATATTTAATTTATCATGCCTAAGAATGACACAAAGACACTTAGAGTATGATAACTCCTCAATCTAAGTGCGGCCTTTGACACCATTTCTCATCCCATCCTCCTCAATAGACTCTCTTCCTCAGGCATCACTCACACCCCCCTCCGCTGGTTTCAATCTTACCTTACTGGCTGCACTCAGTTCATCCAGTTAAAATCCTTTTCCTCAAAACTCTCCCCAGTCAAGTCAGGTGTGCCCCAGGGCTCTGTCCTGGGGCCCCTCCTCTTCATAGTCTATCTCCTCCCTATCTGCAACATCTTCCGCAAATTCAATATCCAGTTTCACTGCTTCGCGGATGACACCCAGCTCTACATTTCCAGTAAACCCAACTCAACCCTCCCACCATCCTCCCTTACCCTCTGCCTCTCAGAAATCAAATCATGGTTCACCTCTAATTTCCTCAAACTCAACGGCAATAAAACTGAACTTCTTGTTGGTGCTAAATCCACCATCTCCAAATCTGACAGCTTTTCCTTAACTATTGACAGCGCTACAGTCTCCCCCTCCCCTCAGGTCAAGAGTCTGGGTGTCATCCTCGACAGCTCACTTTCTTTTCAAGCTCACATTAATAACTTAATTCGGTCAGCATACTTCCATCTTCATTCCATAAACCGTCTTCGTCCCTCCCTTACCCCTCACACTGCCGCCATTCTCGTCCACAGCCTCGTCACCTCCCGTCTCGATTATTGCAATTCACTTCTTTATGGTCTCCCCAACAAACTCCTTCATAAACTGCAACTGGTCCAGAATTCAGCAGCCCGTATTATCACCAGAACCCCTTCCTTTCACCACATCACCCCGGTTCTCCAGCAGCTTCACTGGCTTCCAGTTAAATTCAGGTCCATCTTCAAAATTCTCCTCCACACCTTCAAAGCCATCCATAACCTCTCTCCTCCATATATCTCAGACCTTATAAGTTTTCACACCCCATCCCGTTCTCTCAGATCTTCTTCTTCCATCCGTCTTGCTGTTCCTTCTGCCCGTCTCACCACCATGGGGAGCAGAGCTTTCAGCCGCTCTGCTCCCCGTCTCTAGAACTCACTCCCCCAGACATCAGGAACATCGACAGTTTCACCCTTTTCAAAACCTTTCTGGTCACTCAAGGACACTGTACAGAATAAAAACACAAATCATTCAGTAAGTAAACATACGTAAACATGAACAAACAAGGCACTCTAAAATTCAGAGCTGATATGTGGTTATGAAGAGGTGAGTTTTGAGTTGTTTTTTGAATTCTGTGAATGAGTTAATGTTCTTGATGAGAGGGGGAAGGGAGTTCCAGAGTTTGGGAGCGGTGCAGCTGAAGGCTCGACTCCCCATAGTGCTGAGACGAAAGGAGGGCACAGAGAGATGAATGGAGGAGGAGGACCTGAGGGAACGAGACGAGGTGACGATGTGAGCGAGATCTGTGAGGTAGTGAGGGGCGAGGTTATGGATGGCCTTGAAGGTGAGAAGGAGAATCTTGTAGTTAATCCTGGTGTGCACTGGAAGCCAATGGAGTTGTTTGAGGATGGGGATGATGTGATGAGAGATAGGAGTTTTAGTGATGATGCGTGCTGCTGCATTCTGAACCAACTGGAGCTTACGGAGGGTTTTCTGAGGGAGACCTGAGAGAAGAGAGTTGCAGTAATCGATACGTGATGTAACCAGACTATGGACGAGGATAGAAGTAGAGTGGACATCAAGGGAGGGGCGAAGACGATTCATGTTACGAAGGTGGAAATAAGCTGACCGTGTGATGCTATTGATATGAGATTGGAAGGATAGTGTGCTGTCTAGGATGACACCCAGACTCTTGACCTGGGGGGGGGGGGGGGGGGGGGGGGACTGAAGTATTATCAACTGTGAGGGAGAAACTGTCAAATTTTGAGAAGGTGTTCTTGGTACCAACCAAAAGAAGTTCTGTTTTGTCTGTATTTAATTTCAGGAAGTTCGAACTGAACCAGGATTTTATTTCTTGAAGGCGGGTGATGAGGGAGGAGGGAGGAAGTGCAGAATTTGGCTTACTGGACAAATAGAGCTGGGTGTCATCCACGAAGCAGTGAAAATGAATATTGAATCTGCGGAAGATATTGCCAAGGGGAAGGATGTATATAATGAAAAGGAGGGGCCCCAGGACAGAGCCCTGGGGCACACCAGAAGAGTCAGAAGAGGGCTGTGAGCAGGAGGATTTGATAGTAATGAACTGATAGGTAGGACTGAAACCACTGAAGTGGGATGTTAGCGATGCCGATGGAAGATAAGCTATTGAGGAGAATGGAATGAGATATTGTGTCAAAGGCCTCACTCAGATCAAGGAGGACCAGGATGGATAGTAGACCGGAATCAGCAGCAATGAGGAGATCGTTGGTTATTTTGAGGAGGGCCGTTTCTGTGCTGTGAAGTGGGCGGGAACCGGACTGGAAGGGTTCATAGAAGGAGTTTATTGTCAGATGGCTGTGGAGCTGGGCAGCGACTATTTTTTCTAAAACTTTGGAGGCAAAGGGTAGGTTGGAGATGGGGCGGAGATTAGTAAAAATGTTAGGATCCGAACCAGGTTTTTTAAGTATTGGAGTAACTGCAGCAGCTTTGAAGATAGAGGGAACAATACCGGAGGAAAGGGATGCATGTATGAGAGCGGAGACGAGAGGGAGCAGGGAGGGGAGGCAGGATTTAACCAAGGCCGTGGGAAGGGGGTCGAGAAGGCAGGTAGAAGACAGATATAATGAATGTTAGTTGCAGTGGTAATGAAAAGTGTTTACGCCATGAAGAAAGCGAGATAGCAGCGTAATGAAGGGGTCAGACAGGCACTGACAAAGGTGCATTTTGTTAACCTGAGATAATTAGAACAAGAATATGAATCATAGTAAACAAAAGTTACGACATACAGCAAGTGTATTTGAACAATTGTCAGAACCAGAACTTCTTCCTCTACACCTAGTTCCTCCACTCGTTTAAACTCCAGAACAGACAAGTGTGGTGTTCCTTTCTGCATGTTTAGAAATCTTAGATTCTTCATGTTTAACTCCAAAACCCTTCAGGTGTCTCTGCTCACCATCACTTCACTGACTGTTAAACCAGATATTTACCGGCACGTTTGCACAGAGCTCTGGGACTAAGTGCTGACACGAGACTTTGACATTTCTTTGTAGTGTTTGCATCCAAACCCATCATGGATGAGGGGACGATGGCATTTATTTGTCATGTTTCTCGTGCCCTCTTGCTCCCCTCCCCCGTCTCTCTGCAGGTTGCGATTTTTGGACGGACACCGAAAAGAGTCTCTTCAGTGCAGCTCTGAGGACACACGGGAAAGACTTCTCCCTCATAAAAAAGACGGTAGAGCAATCATTTGTGCACAAACATGTTTTAATTAAAGGTGCATTATGGAAGTTTGACAGTCAAAACATGTATAGAAATAATAAATGTCTTCTTCATACATTCTCCTGCAATGCCCTGGTCCTGTAGAATGAGCCCTGGCATTTTTACTGTGATTGCCTGTTTTTCTGTAAAATCACAGAAAAAGAGAGATGCTCGGGTCGAGCAGGCTGCTTCATGCGCGTTCACGCTCAGGCATCGCCCGTAGCATTTGCTATCCGTAGCTTTAGCAGCAGAGAGAGAGACAGTGCCACTTTGTCGCTGTTCCTAACGCCTAGCGACAAAGCTAGCTACATTTCTGAGGACCCTTAGCTACTTTCTGTAGAACTTTCTTCTAGATATTTCCTGCAAATTAGCAACAAAATAGCCATTTTCGCTACAAACCGTTCTTTGAACGTTGTTTCAGCTGTCATCAAGGATATAAATGTTACAGATACATCAAATGTTACTGGTGCTTTAGCTCACCTAGTAAGATGTCGGACTCCCATGCAGAAGACCTGGATTCGATTCTGGATGTGAACATAGTTTATTTAGAGTTTCTTTTTTACATTAGTGGTATATTTTTTACAGTAAGATGCCCCAATTTTTATTTGAGACTCGCCGAACGGCATTGAATTCACAGATAAAAAAGATGTGGGTTCAACTTTCATTTTGGAACAATTTTTCAAGCAAGGGAAGGGAATGATCTGAGCATGCAGGAGGACTGACCCATCATAAACCTTTGTCGGCTGTGCTGAAGAGAAAGGTACAGAACCACATTATTTAATTAATTAGCTGCGCGTTCTGTCCTTTGTCCTCCGGGCCACACACACACAAAAGGGACTGTCTCAGCGGTTATTTTCGTTAAGGAGTGTGCACGTACAGCATGCGCGCCTCGTGCACGAGCCTACTATTGAAGCTGTCGTTACACTTTTAGCCTGAGGGGCCAATCGCGAGCATAAAAATTCAAAACTCCGTAAAGTCCCTTTAAATAAACATGCAGGGGCTGGTTTTACGACTACGCCAAGTCCTTTTTATGCGTTCGGTGCTGAACCACCACATCAAAAGTGAAAAGCGCGACGCAGTTTTCAAGCCTCTACCTGTCGCCCGTTCTCACCGAATCACCCTGACATGTTCTGCTGCTCAGGTTAGGATTTAAGATCGAGACCTTGGTGTTAAATGGACACTTCTGCTGCTGTCTGTTTGCAGGTGAGGACAAAGACAGTGTCCCAGTGCGTGGAGTTTTTCTACCTGAGCCAAAAGCTCACGGGCAAACAGAAGAAACAAAAGGAGGACGAGCGCAGAGACGCACAGGAGGAGCTGCAAACATGCGTAAGGATCCTCTCAAATGTGCAGCTAGGGTTAAACTCAACACATGAAATCTACAACGATTGTTTCAAACTATAATGTTTATTTATTTTGTGTGTGCATGGATGAATGACAAATTGTGTTGCAAAGTGCCTGGGGGGGGGGGTTCTAGGACTCTAGAAGGCTACTTACAATAAGCGCTGACTGTGTGGTGCTGCAGACACGCCCATGAGGCTCAGCAGGTTTGAAGCCTTTGTCCTTGTCTGGCGTCTGATCACTGACGGACTTCTGTCACTACCACAAGAGGAAAAATAACTGTTTAATTGGAAAAATAAATTTAAAAAGGCTTTGAAAGTCCTGACATGTCTGACCCTTTTTTGTTAAGACCGTGTTGCACCTTATCGATCGTTTACCCCTGAGATGCCACCAGCTTTCATAAGAGAGTAAGGCCCTGTCCACACGTAGCCGGGGATCTGCCAAAACGTAGATATTTTTCTACGTTTTGGCCTGTCATCCACACGAAAACGGAGTTTTTTTCACACGAAAACGGATCTTTTTAAAAACTCCGGCCAAAGTGAAGATCTGCGCTTTCTCCGTTTTGGGTGTCTGCGTGTGGACGGACAAAACCGGAGTTTTAAGGTCCGCAACGTCACTTTCCGCGACAAAAAATGCTGACATCACGTGTGCGACCTGTGTTTACACTAGCCGACAGCATGGATGCCCTCAGAGCTGAGCTCGCTTTATTAATTGTCCAAGCGCTTTCTGCTTGTTTGTTTTTGCAAGCGGAATTACTGCTCCTTGCGGAAGACCACAGACGAAGGACGAGGTTAAGAACGGGGGAAGTACTGCCCCCTACAGGTCTGGCATGTCCTTAACAACGTATTTATCCGGGTACGTGTGGACAGAGTTTGTTTTTAAAAGGAGGTGGTGTGGATGCAAGTTTTTGGAGGGGCGGATATTCGTTTTTAAAAAACCCGGCTACGTGTGGACTAGGCCTAAATGTTGGAGGTGGGAAAATGATCCATTCTAAGATGCATCGCCATTCAGCCGTGCATGATTCTGCATCGATGCAGCAACGTGACATCATGAGATTTTCTCCCTATATCTATGTTCTGGACGTGCGAGGACAATAAAGTTTTGAGGTTTTACAACTACTTCCAGGGGCAGGGTTGCAATGACATGCGCTCTGCGTTGCCCTAGCGCCAATTTAAAACAGAAGTGGCGGACAGGGATACAGGGCGAACATGTCTGGGCTAATTTCGGTTTAGGGATCCTGGATGTGAAAGAATCACTTAACACAGTATTTGTTTACTATTTTTAAGTTCAGTAGTATTCTATCTTAAAGCTGCTCCACCGAAAACATTACTTCTTATATCATTTAAGTAATTATAGGCAGCAGACTTTAAAAATTGTTGCTCACTATAGTGAATAGATGTATGTTCTGTTTTTCAGGGATATCGAAATAAAAAACAAATTAAAAATTACTCTACTGCTTTTATTAAGTAACGAAAAATTGTGTGTGAAGAATCGTCACACACTTCAGACTCAAATCGAATCTTTAGGCAGATAATCTGAATCGGATCGAATCGTGAGGCAGGTAGAGATGCGCACCGCTAGTAAATATGTCTTGCTTTGCATTCAGACCCATTTTACAACAGTAGACATGCATGTGCCTCATTTACAAGCTGCACCAGCAGAGAGAAGTATACTGGTCAGCTGCTCACAGTAAGAGAAGAGCGCCCTTTTACGAAGCGCTTGAAAATAAGGGCAAAGCACAAAATTTCACTCTCAGTAAAGAGAAACGCTTTAGGGAGGTCTGATCTGCATGTCTGGGCGGTTTGTGAGTTAAATTAAGTGATTGTTGTACGTGGATTGCTGCTCGGTAAGTCATGCGAAGCGTTCCAGGTCATGAGAGGTCATGTTTTTTGCAGAAGTCATCCCACTCTCAGCCGTTAAAAAGACCCTATACGCTGGAGGAGGCGGTTTCTGTCCCCCCGCTGGCCAGCTTCTTCCCCTGCAAACTGTGTGGAAAGTGAGTAAAAAGCATGTTTATTAAAAGAGGCTGCCAACACTAACTCACTGTTCCCAGGGCAAGCCAACAGATGGTTTAGATTGCCAAGGCTTTTTTTTTTCATCTGTGCCCTTTATTTGTCTCCAGAATGTTCTATAAGATTAAATCCAGGAACGCTCACATGAAGATCCACCGTCAGCCTCAGGAGGACTGGACCGACCGGCGGCTGCAGCACCAGCTCCTCACGCAGAGTCTGGCTCTCGGTCGTCCCAACAACCTCGTACCCAGCCCAGGAAGTAGCCGGCTCCAACCCCAGGCTTCAGCCCTGACCTTCTCCTCCTGTGGCCTTGTGCCAAACAGCAACATAGCCAAAAGCATCGCCATTGCTCCGAATAACATCAGCTTCCTTGATCCTAATGCTGCTGTGGCGTTCAGCAACACCACTCCTCCAAACTCCCACTTAATCACCATCAACAGCAGTGATGTGGGCGAGTTGAATCGAAAAGATCCCTCCGCCGTTTTATCCCTCCACCAGCCATGGGGGTCATTTGGACACTCTCCTGACCTCTCCACCTTCTACTGCCTCACAGAGGGAAAGGAAGATGGAGGCGGAGGGGTGGAGGGAAAAGAGACAATCAGCTGGCAGTAGTCTAACTTTTTCCAGAAACGCATTACTACCGCAAGCCTCGAAAGCGAAATCAAACTGCGTGCATTTAAGTTCAAACTCAAGTATTTTTTAAACTTTTTGAAGCATTTAAAAACCAAACAGACGGTCCTTCTTGTTAGATTTTTGTTGTAGATTTTGCACGTACTTACGTAACATATTTAACGTTTCTCATGAAATTGAGGTTTTAATAAAATTGTGGCTTTTTCATTTCTATTTTTTTTCTGGCCTTCCACACATGGATAATAAAACCAAATAAAAACAATAATAGTGACAGTTGGGCTGCATTTTTGGTTCTTTTTAAAACACGGATACGTTTTTTTTTTCTACCTTGCTGACAGCTTCGCTCGCCGACTGCAAAACTTCCTCAGATTTGACGCGTCGGCAAACAAAACTGTCAGCAAGGTAAAAAAAAAAACCTTTTCTGTGTTTTAAAAAGAACCAAAAATGCCGTTAGAAACCAGACACAGCAATGTAGCGTCATGAAGGGACTGTTTTCCACCTAAAGGTCATCTCCCCCTCTCTCCTCATGAAGAACTAATCTCCTTGCGATATGGCTCAAGGCCTTTGATGCCTCTGCATCTAAACAGTTTTAACTAGCTATTTGCCTCCCCCTACAGCTCAGGAGAAGATCAGAAGAACTCTATTAAATAATAATCAAATAACTTTGTTAGTCCAAATAATCATGTAAAGCTCAATGTTAAATCAATCTGTGAAATTATATAATAAGTAATATAACTTTAAACTACACACTAGACTGATCACAAGTAATGTTAAAATCACATGACATATTCCTTTTGCCTCTCCAATCAGAGCTTTCCTTTTTGACGCGCGGCTTGGTCTGTGCAGTGTTTATTTTTGTTGTCAAATTCTGATTCGACTATAAATCAAAGCATCTGAATTATAAAACTAATTCCCACGTCACCCTTAACTCAGTTCAACGTTCTAGAGTATTGAGCCGGCCACTCGTAACTTTTTAACCACAAAGAACCTAACGACAAGCTGGATAATAAAACCTGTTGCAAGCTACAACTGACGCAACGCTCCTTCAGAGTAAAAGCTGAACTCACTGACCCTTCAGGGTCCCACTGACGCTGTCAAACACCAGTTGCTTACCTGGAGGCAATCCCAAGACTAGTCTGTTGTACCGTACGCTGTTTCACCGGCTCCGGTACCAAAGGGGAGCCAGAGAAAATCTGGGCCTCTCTGCTTAGGTTGCTGCCCCCGTGTCCCGACTCCGGATAAGCGGAAAAACACATTAAAAAAAACTCCAAAATCAACATTTAAAATGTTCAATTTTGATCTACAAAACTAAAAATACAAGCAAACTTCTTTATTTATGCCAAATTGATCAATTTTTCCTCCCCCTTTGTAGCATTTTTTTCACATGAATGTTATATTTCATAAACCTCAGACAAAGTGGCAAATATTCTCACAATGCACTATGGGTAGCATGTGGAATCAGCTTACCCTAATTCAGTTCAATTCAATTCAGTTTATTTATAAAGCACCAAATCATGACAAGAGTCGTCTCGAGTGCTTCACACAGTAAACATTCCAATTCAGGTCAGTTAATTAAGCCAATCAGTAAAAAGTTTCCCATATAAGGAACCCAGCAGATTGCATCGAGTCACTGACTAGTGTCAGAGTCTTTACAGCAATCCTCATACTAAGCAAGCATGCAGCGACTGTGGGGAGGAAAACTCTCTTTTAACAGGAAGAAACTTCCAGGATCCTGGCTCAGTATAAGCAGCTATCCACCACGACTCACTGGGGATCGAGAGGACAGAGCAGACACACACACACACACACACACACACACACACACACACACACACACACACACACACACACACACACACACACACACACACACACACACACACACACCAAGTAATGTGTCTATAGTTACATTGTGATTTCTTAGTAAATATTCTATTTGGCGAGAGATAAACTTTATTGTATTTATCCTAGTGGATCTATAATTAAACAGGTAAACTAGTAGTAGCACATCCAACGTCAAAGAGAGTAAAATGTTATTATCAGGGGAGGGAGAATGTTTAAGTGGTTAGCATCAGTGTTCAAGTCGATGGCCCCCTCCATGAGGGCACCACTGTCATGCTCTGTGCTGTACTAACCATCTTGGTCTGAGCTTTGTTTGCAGGTGGGTGTGTCTGGAGAGCTCAGCTGTATCAAATCAGCTCATCAGCGGTCAGGGGACTTAAGGAGCAGCAGGACAACTCACCAGTGCCAGATGATACTCAGTCTTGGGTGGTTTCTAGCCCTCCTCCTGATCTTTCTGAAAGATATCAGAACTTGTTAGTCTGCCCATTCCTTCCCTTCGGGCAGTTAACTTGCTCTGCCCTCCTGATCCCTCCAGGTTCCAGTCATCTATTCATATTCGCTTTCTACAATATCACCGGAACCATCATCAATATTCCAGTCCCGCCATTTGCCCCTGATCGCCTGCTCTCCGCCACTCACCGGCCCACCTGCAGCTCCTCGGTCTCCCTGCTCAGCCAGACCTGGCATACCCTCCCCGAAGAACCCGGATCATCCAGGAAACCGTAAGCCCTTTGCATTCCTCATCATCCTCTCACGTTGTTCCAGACTCTGACCTCTCTTCCTCTCTCAGACCCCCACGGATCCATTTCCGGTCCATCGGAAGCTACCTCTACCGCACTATACAAAATAAGCCATTTTTACTTACCTTCCGACTCCTGGTGGTGATTCTTCATGTCGTGGGTTAAGAAATTGCCCTCAAACATGACAACCACAGCTCAGCAGAACATCACTGTAGCTTCTTTTGGGGAGAAAAACACTTAGAGAGAAATACAGTTAACAGCTGAAATAGCAGAAAATAAAGCAGTTTAACAATGCAGTAAAAGAAAGTAGTAGAGTGTGGAAAGTGGTCGGTGTGTCCTCCAGCAGTCTAAGCCTATAGCAGCATAACTACAGAGATGACTCTGGATAACCTAGCCTTTTAGATGGAGGCATGTTTCTAGCCTGGCCTGCCAGACCCGTCCTCTGTCTACATAGAGAACTAGTCTGGTTACTCACAGGCAGAGAGGCACAAGAGGGGCGGGACTAGCCAGCTCAAAAATAACCAGTCAGAAAAAAGGCAGAAATGCAGACTGTACGGTGTGACACTGTAGTTTTTTAGTTGTAGTCAAAAATGGCATCTGGCAACGGCGCAAACATCTTTCTTTAGAAGATAGGCTTTTGGCGCTTCTACTTGTTGTGGTATTAAAGACATGTCCAAGTCATTTAGAAGAGAGGAAAGAGCTGCAGCAAACTCCCCTTCAGTCGCCATGTTCATAAGAAACTCAGCGTTGCAGTGTGTGTGTGTGTGTGTGTGTGTGTGTGTGTGTGTGTGTGTGTGTGTGTGTGTGTGTGTGTGTGTGTGTGTGTGTGTGTGTGTGTGTGTGACGTACACTGCTCAGCGCTGATTGACTTGGTCGGAATTCTCAGGGGGTGGGGTTATTTGAATAGAAGAGTTCCCAGACACAATACTTTCCATAATGAAGCATGGGGCTGGCTGGTCAGGCTAGCAAGTAGGAGAAAGGACAAGGGAGAACCGTCTTTACCAACTGTATTCTCCACTGTACACTCCACCTCCCTCTCTTCCCCCACTCATTCAGATCTGGGCTAACATCAGATTTTAACCATAGACCCTATCAAATAAAAATGTTTTAAGCCTAGTCTCAAAAGTAGACAAGTTGTCTGCCTCACGGACTAAAGCTGGGAACTGGTTCCACAAGAGGGGAGCCTGATAGCTAAAAGATCTGCCTCCCATCCTATTTTTAGATATTCTGGGAACCACCAGTAAACCTGCAGTCTGAAAGCGAAGTGCTCGGTTAGGAACGTATGGAACAATCAGATCACTTATGTATGATGGAGCTTGATTATTAAGAGCTTTATATGTGAGAAGGAGGATCTTAAAATCTATTCTGAATTTAACAGGTAGCCAATGTAGGGAAGCTAAGACAGGAGAGATATGATCTCTCTTTTTAATTCTCATCAGAACTCTAGCTGCAGCATTTTGGACAAGCTGAAGACTTTTAACTACATTCTGTGGACTTCCTGATAGTAATGAATTACAGTAATCCAGCCTTGATGAACTAGTTTTTCAGCATCACTCCTGGAAAGGATCCTTTTAATCTTAGCAATTTTCCAAAGGTTGAAGAAGGAAATCCTACAAACCTGTTTAACGTGGGATTTGAATGACATGTCTTGGTGAAAGATAACACCAAGGTTCCTTACTTTGTTCTCGGAGGCTAATGTAATGCCATTCAGGTCAGGTGATTGACTACGCAATTTCCTTTTCTGAATTTCAGGTCCAAAGATGAGAACTTCAGTCTTGTCTTGATTTAAAAGCAAAAACTTTAAAGTCATCCTATTTTTTTTATGTCTTCAAGACAAGTCTGTAATCTAACTAACCGATTAGGTTCATCAGGGTTAATGGATAAATATAATTGAGTATCGTCAGCATAACAGTGGAAATTTATCCCATGATGTCTAATGATTTTACCAATTGGAAGCATATATATAGTAAAATGAATTGGCCCAAGCACTGAACCCTGTGGTACTCCGCAAGTAACCCTAGAGTATGAAGAAGATTCGTCATGTACATTTACAAAATGAAATCTGTCAGACAGGTAGGATTTAAACCAGCCTGTCACTGCTCCTTTGATCTCTACAACATGTTCAAGCCTTTCTAAAAGAACATTGTGATCTACTGTGTCAAAAGCAGCACTGATCTAATCAATTACCAGGCTTGTTTACTGAGCTATGCTAGGCTAGGAAACTCTATGTATATGACTCACTCTAGAATCACAAACAGTGCTTTAAAAAGAAACTCAAACTTTTCTGTTTGTGAAATCCCGTTTGAGCTGCAACATGAAAACACTGACAGGTTACTAAAAGGTTTTTATGCACCATCATAATGGGCCAATATTGACCTTGGTAGCACATCTCCTCTCTTATGAGTTCCTGTATGTCCTGAATTACCCAGTTGATGGTTAACCACTGTGATTGAGCCTGATGTGTTTAGGTCTGTACGGTGAAAAGTCCCTGGAAAAGATGTGTGTGTGGAGGCTGAAAATAACAGCTGAATGTTCAAAATATTTCAGAACAATAAAACCAGAAGATTAAAAAAGTTTTGAGTTTACATTTAACAGTTCACAGAGGAACCAGGGGAAAGCTTCTGGGTTGCATGAACTTCACAAGTCGCTGCACGCCCTTTGACACCGTCTCTCCTGGAGCGTTACTACGGGCTGCGATGGTGATAGCTGTTTGTGTGGTTGTGTGATCGGTGATTAAATCTGTGTGTGTGCGTGCATGAGTGGCATGTGTGTGTCACTGATAAGTGTGTTGGCCTTTAAAGTAGTTCCTCCCCCTGACAAAAGTCCACCACTTCTAACACACTGTCTGCCCTCCTTTCTGTCTGATGTCTCTTCATGAATCTTCTCAGCGATTCTCCCCACCTCTGTGGTGGAACGCGTCTGTGAAGTTCTGTTTTACTGATTCTGAAGCTCAGAGGCTTTTGCAACAGTGGAAATAAGAGGAGCAGCAGCAGGGTTTAATGCCAGGCCTTTTCACAGAGGAACAGAGGGGGTGGGGGGGTAAGCAGAGAGGTTACTGAGCAGTGGGCATTCAACGATTAAAAGACAACAACTCTTTGAAAGCTGACTGAGTTTGTGGCCCCCTCCGCTCATTCCTGCTTTTTCCCACGTGTTGTTTTCTATTTATTTCCCAGGACTGGGCAGTGACAGAGAATTACAACATTTTCACTCTGGCCTGCCGAGACATGCAAGGGAATGTCTCGCTAATGAACCTAATGGCATTAGCTTGAAGTGAAACATCACGATGACAGAATCTAGTTCAGCGATGCAGTACGGTGAATTTGGAGGTAAATCTGATCGCCAGAATGGTTCCATTAAAAACTGGTGTAATTTTCTGTTAACATTAAGAAATTTGTTCCAAACAAAGAACGCACTCAACCTTTCTGCAAGACTAAATTAAGCTGAGAAATTCATCAATAAAGTGAAAAATAAATCATTCACATTTAATAAAGGACTCAAAACATTTTAATCTATAGATTTCCCTGTAAGCTGTCATCAGTCTGAGTTTATCAATCACTGGCGATGCATTGGTCACTAAATCTCTGTGAATCTAAAATCTATAAAAACATTTATTTAAAGTTTAAATAAAAATGGAGTTTTTTATACTTACATTTTCATCATTACCACACATTAAATTGCTGTTCCCATTGCTTTAAGTGAATAAAAACAGGCAAAGGAGGCAAGGCAGCTTTATTTATAGAGCACATTTCGCACAGAAGCAATTCAATGTGCTTTCCAGGTGCAAGATCAACAAGAACACGAAACGTTTAAATCTACATGACATTATAAAACAGCAGTTTATAAAATCAAAGTTAAAACACACAAATAAAAACAGATGTAAGAACTAAAATAAAAATACGAAGTGCAGAAGGTGCAGCATAAAGGTTGGTTTATGCTTGACGCGTCCGCGAGGTCCGCACGGCTCAGCGCGGCGAAATTGCATCATTTTAACAACCACGCCCCTTCACCGCGTCTCCGCATGGCCCAAAATTTCCGCAACATGCACTTAGGAAATTTTCTAAAGCTTGGTTTATGCTTGACGCATTTACTTTCCACTTGGTGATGCGGCTCACGGATGGAACGCGCTTCACAACTTGCAGCGTTTATGGTTCATGCGGCTCGTCTCTGCGGTGAGCAAATATTCTCCCAAACTGTAGGGGGCAGCATGGTGATTAGAAATTTTCCTATGTGAGCGTTGCGGAAATTATGGGCCGTGCGGAGACGCGGTGGAGGGGCGTGGTTGTTGAAATGACGCAATTTTGCCGCGCGGAGCCGTGCGGACCTCGCGACGCGTCAAGCATAAACCAACCTTAACCACGTGGACGGTCGGACGCGGAAAAACATGGCTGACTGGCAAGAACTAGTATGGCAGAGGTTGGTAAATACAGACATTTGTATGATTCAGCTCTCAAAGATCACCGTGATCAACATGTTGTTAATAATTCTTGGAGAGAAATAGCTCGCACTGTCGGAAAAGACGAGGACGCTGTTAAAAATGCTGGAATGCCATGTTGTAAACAACAGTAACTTTTACTTCTACTATGGTGTAGTGTTGGATGCATGCCGTAGAGTTCCATGCTGCCCCCTACAGTTTGGGAGAATATTGGCTCATCGCAGAGACAAGCCGCATGAACCATAAACGCTGCAAGTTGTGAAGCGCGTTCCATCCGCGAGCCGCATCACCAAGCGGAAAGTAAATGCGTCAAGCATAAACCAAGCTTCAAAGAGAGCTGTCCATGCTCAGAAGCATCAAACCTGAATGAACTTGTTAAAGAAGAATGGTCCAAGATACCTTCAACCAGAATCCAGACTCTCATTGGAAGCTACATGAAGAGTTACAGGAGAGAAACAGGAAAATGGCCTCTATAGATGTAGCAAATAAACAGGGCGTGACGATGTTGCTGAGTGGAAACAATGAATGGTGTTGTCAAAAACATCTTCAGCCTGCAGACAGCTTCTGTACACTTCTCCGTTATAGTCAGAAATCAGAAGAAAACATTGCAGAAGCAGTTTTTGTTTGCTCACAAGCTTAAAATGGCCAGAGGGGGAATTTTTTCCTTTGAAGATGCATCAGGCTATTGTTGGGCTCAGAAAGGAAGGCTTTATGTGAGAGGTGACCATACCCTGGTACAGCGCTTGGATGGGACCAATTTATTCAACAACAGCATAATGACCCAAAACACACATCCCAAACAAAAAAAAAGTGCTAACTGGGCTGGAACTGCAGCAGCTTATTTGTTCTGAAAGCAGTTAAAAGAAAACATTCATAAATTTTAATAAATTCTTATTTCCTAACTCCTGTTTATTTTCTATATTTCCTAATGGGACTAATTTTATGTTTGCTTCCATGGAAAATTGTAGGAGTTCCCCATTTGGAGCAGTATTGTGGGCTTCGTATGGAATCCAGGGGGTTGAAACATCAGAATTCGTAAAATTATTTCAGATTTTAAAAAGGTACAAATAAACTTCGATCTATTAAACTAAATATGGAGACAACATGTTCAACAGTTTACTGACATGTAAATTTGCTTTCAGGTTTGCATCATGACAACAAAATAGACATAAAACGACCTCGTAAAAATGCTTGTGATTGCCGCCCCAGTCAGTGGTGATGAGGCAACACTTTGGCATGCTTTGATCAGCTCTCTGGTCCAAAAGGACACCTGCTACCTTGTCAGGGACTGTGTGGACAATCGTGAGCTTTTGCTGTTGGTTTAACCTCCAGGGGATTGTCAGAAGACCTGCAAAGGTGGAAGACGAGTGGACGCAGTAGATCAAGAGAAAGGACAAACTGATAGAAGAATGTGTCAGAAGTAAACTGGTCAATCTACGGAGATATTAAGGATCATTTGACCTGATATGTATTTTTCTGATAGTGTATTAAAACACAATTGATTTGTCCCCTGCAACAAATCTGGATAAGTTGAAAGTGTGTCCCCAGGAGTGACACACACTGTTATCTGACGCCGATAAGAGAACAAACAAGAGTTGAGAAATGATTCTGGACATGTTTACTTGTAGAAAGAACTGGTATAAAACTGTAATCAAAAGGTTCACGAGTCACAGAGATGTCAGTAAATCCAATTTTTCATCTTCTGTCTGCCTGATTTCCTTTTTCTGACTGTTAACAGAACATATAACCAAGTTACAAGGTGCTTTTCCCTTTCAAATGAAGCAGGAACAACTGGAGTGGGGTAAGAAACCATCCTGTCTGAGCTTCAGCTGATTATTGAGATAAAAGTGTACTCACCTATTGTCCACGTTCCAAGGCAGCAACACAAAGGACCATTAAAAAGGCCGGTAATCTAATCCCAGTCTTTTCTGCTCTTTCTTGATCCAGAGATCCTCTCTTCTTACACAGACTTAACTCTTTTTCAGGACTTTTCTCTTCTATCCAGGCACAAGACTATTTTTGCTCATTACAGCATTTTTACTAAAATACCTCATGAACCACTGGTAAGATTTAAAAAAAAAACTGAAATGCACATCTACAACTCATTAAATGTGGCGTCATCCCCAGTCACGATGGGCCCTACAGTTATCAAACATAACAACAATTTACGTGAACCACGTCCACGTCTCTCTTACTTTGTAAATATAAATATAGCAAATATAGCTGCAAAATAACAGTTAGAGAACGATCTTTAGAAGCTGTTAAAAGTAATAATTTAGCTTACTCACCTCAGATTGGGCCCAAAATCTCCGTTTTAGGGAAGCGGTAGTCGACGGGATCCTGCTAATTACTGGAACGGCTTGGACTAATTTGTGAAATGCTCTTCAAACCAGCATAACCGGTTCAAACTCCACCAAGTTGGTGAAAGAGTCTGATGTAAAAAATACTAAACTACAAAATCTAACAGCCAAGCTACTCGAACTAAATAATTTTAATACTAGAAGTTTTGCTGGGACTCTGACACAATGCTAATGCTAACTACAGCACAAATCACTTACGAGCCCCGACTGCTACACCGCAGTGCTTTTACAACCTACAGCCACAGAGGTGCTACGTAGCACTTTTCTGAAATACGTAGCATTGTTCTCGTTAGCCATTGGCTGAAACTGACTCAAAATAAACGTGTTCTATACTTTTGAGCTGAAGATGGCACTGGACTGACGTTTGTAGACAGAATTTGGTTTTCAAAGAAAACACATCAAAATGCAAAAATAATAACTAGACATGTCTACAACACTACTAGACACTCATTTATAGTAGTTATCAGCTAAAATAAGTTGATTTTGATGTGACTTGCTCTTTAAAGTGTCAATTACTCAGTCAGATTCACATACATGAGCACAACTGTGGTATGTTAGTAGCTGAGAGGCATGCCAATCACAAACGCTGAACTCCAACCTTTGCACAAGATAATTGGATTTCATTCATTCAGCCTTTTGGAATTAGCCTGGCAAGCCATCCTATATATGTAAATGTATTGACCCATTGCGCCTAGGTCACCTGATCACGTGGTTCCACCTTACTGGGTGGCAAAAACATGTAAACAGTGAGCGACACCAGTACTTAACAAAGGGAAAAGCAAAGCCTGAAATTGTTTTTGCAAGCTTTAGCAATCCTTCAACTAGTTCAAGGTCAGTTCAGTTATCAGACGAAGCAGGAGCTAGGCGGGGCTCACAGAGAGCGGTATGTTAGCTAGCTTACCAACCTTAGCTTAAAGAGACATTGTGTAGTTTTTACAATTAATTTCTGGAAAGATCCATCAAACTGTTGTTGGGAATGAATGAAATGATGCCCACTTGTTGAAAAATGTTGGCGGCTTTGTAACATATAACCATAAAAATCTGGTCTAAAATACATGGGAGCGGGTCTAAGGGTGTGTCCGAATCCACGGGAAAGATGCTTGTAAGAGTGCGATGACGTCACAGCGCAGCGACGAGTACTGTCCGAATTCCAAGAATACTCATTCTCACGTCCTCAAACACGTCCTCGCTCCGCCCACATTTCGAGGACGGGTCTGTTGTATCCTCACAGAACAAGGCTATCCCAGCATGCTTTGCGCGCCGGCTGTGGATTTTCAACAGGCAGAGAAAATGGGGAGAGCTACGAAGTTTTAAACGTAAGTTTGTTAAAAGCTAGCCGTAGAAACCTTAAAAGCTTAAAGCGGTTCAGTTTATAGACATTTTTCGTTTGTATATTTGTTCTTTAAATTACTTTTTAGGCAGAAATCAGCCAGAACGAGTTTGTATCGCGGTTCCCAGTTATTCCCGTGTGTGTGTGTGTGTGTGTGTAGCGAATTAAACTTGTCATTTGTTTTAAGGACAACGGAGCACAGAAGCATTTTTATTGAGCTTAGAGGTGAAGAGTGAAGCTGTTCACACACAACCACAGAAGTTCTGCTATGAAAAGTAGTTTTACATTCGGGGATTTACAGCTGACACGTTATAATGAAGTAAAACGTGTTTGTGTAAAGAATATAATTTTTATCTTCTCATGTGGATAAATGTAAAAAAGTGTTTATTGCCTTTTTGTCACCTGTGGTCTGATTTTCTCTGTAGGACTGCAGGTGTCCAGGGTCAGGAGAGGCTTTACCTGGTGGTCCTACTGGGAGAGAGGCCTTCTACTGTCATCATGTTAATGTTATTTAGCTGTTTGATATTTGAACATGTTTATTAAAACAAATACTAACTGATAACTCTTTCTGGTCATTGATTTTACCACCAGTTTTATTATTACAGATGTTTTTGAACATGTTACATGAACAGAAAATGAAAAGATGGTAAGGAGACAAGATTATTTATAATACGTTACACTTATTTACAGATCAAAACCAGTATGGACCAGTTATGTACGGTTAAAGCAGGATTAACCTGAGTGACTCTTCCTGGATCATTTATTTAAACTGAGTGAGCAGGAAGTCTTTAACAATGCAGCTGGATCTGCTACAGGAGGATCCAGACGTGGATGGAGGGCTAGAGCAGACCCGTGGCTGGTCGTTTCTGGCCAGAGGAACATCATACAGGACGGTCTGCAGAGAGAGCTTTGGGGCGCTTCCTCTCACTGTCTACTCCATCGTCCATCTACAGGGCCTGCTGGGCTGGCTCAGACGATGGCTGTTACATCTCTGTGAATGACTTGCCTGTTAACAGTAGTGGTGGTCTGCTGGTACCTCCTGAAAGACAGAGCACCGCTGACCTCCTCCACACACATCTTCCTCACGCTCATCCTGCAGACCCACAACTTTACCAGCACAGAGGCAGATGTGCAGCACAGTGCATGCTGACCTGTAATAGATGAAATAAGAGTTTCTTTGTTTTTTTTATAGAAAAATGTAAAACAAAACATAACCTGCAGTATACTGGTTCTGTTCAGTTTAAAGAAAAGCAGCAGGGAATAGTTAAACCGTTAGCATTAGCTGAGATGCCGTTCCACTGGCTGAGATGTTCACTGCTCTTTCCTGGAGGCCAAACCAACAACAGCCTTCCCCGTCACAAGTCAACGATGGGTCCATGAATCTTGAGTGGCAGTGCGAGGTAGATCTGGCTTTTCAGATCCTAGTGTTTCATTATCTATTTTCCATCTGAGACTGTTGCAGGAGATAGGTGTAGGAGACGGGTTTCATGTTCAGCCAGCATGAAAAATTCAAAGTAACCGATTATAACCAGAAATTATAATACAAATAAAGTTTTTCAATGAAAAATAAATAATTACATTGTCACCAAACTTATTCGCAAACACCACAGAGTATGGCTTGGTTACATTTATTAATTGATTAATTATTGATTAATAACTTAACCCTTTGATGCATAATAGTCACTAAAGTGGACAGGTACTCAAAATTGTTATTTATTTATTTTTGCTATTAAGCACAGCTGTTGAAGACTTTATTGCATTTGAGCCCCTCCATTTGGACTTCGGTAAGCCAAGCCAACATATTTCATGTTCAGATTGCACGCTGTTCACTGAGGTGGACATGTAATAAATCATTTGTAAATTATAAAATTTTACAAAAAATGTTTGTTGAAATTTGTTTCATTCACACCTAAAGATGAATTAAAAAAATTGTTAAAAAAATCGTGGTTGAAGATTTCATAATTCATGCATCAAAGGGTTAATTAACGTGTTTGTTTGGGCCCTTTTAAGGCTCCCCCTCTCCGCGTGCTGCCAGTTTCTGCCGTCTGATTGGCTGAGAGCAGCCGAGGAGGTGTGGCCAGTTGCGTCACCTGAGAGCGAGTGATGAAAGCTTAGAGAGGAGCAGAGAGATTAAATAGAAGGCAGGCGCAGGAGCAGACTGCTATATCCGCCACACGGAGACGAACGGTGCCAGCTGCTAGCTCAGTTAGCCTCACTAGACAGTTAGCCACTAGCTCCAGAGTCCTAGCTCTGTTACTACTCATGAGGGAGGAGCAGGAGGGCTAAAGTCTGGGTGACAGTGTGGGAGTCGACGCTTTCAGCTCCTGCTCGACCGTCCTGATCTGACTCCTTGTGTTTATGAGTACCCGTGTACCTGTGCGTGAGAGTTTATGTACACAAGTACACCTCCTTCCCTCCTACCAGCAGCGTGTTTGTAAATGTGAGTCCGGTTAGCAGGAGCAGCAGCAAACCCACAAACACGGCGTGACTTGTTTGCTCGGTCCGGTTCCTTGGCAGCGGATTGACATCCTTTAACCTGCAGCAGCATGTGAGTACTAACGTGACTGTGTGTTTTTATGAATGAGGAGTCACTTTGTGCTGTGTGGCAACGGTCTTAAAGGAAGAGCGTTCCTCCTGAAGGCTGTCAACGTGGTGACAAATGCTGCAACACCTCGGCTGTTGCACAAACTTGTGACTGTGCACCAGGAAAAAGCGAGATCAGCTTAAGTTATTTACACGTTTTAAAATTTCTCGTTTAAGGCGGGTTTATTGATTATTTGTTTTGCAAATCGTTAGAAAGGGCCGGAAGTCAAACTTGTCAGCGTTAAAAGTTGCATTTTTACGTTTAGAACATGGAACGTGAGGAATTTAAATGAGCTTTGTGATTGCAACTGTGCGGAGGTTACGTCACCGCATGCCAAAGAGCTAGTCAGTTGTTTCAGGCGTTTCTGTGGACAGTTTATGGATCTTTACAATTTAACCTGCTTCCAGATGGAGCTGTGAACAACCTCAGCTTGGAGAAATGGAGACCAGTTTTGACTTGAGCCTGATTTATACTTCCGCGTAGGTGCGGAGACACCGGCGCAGGAGCTCTCAGACGAATAGCATAGAAAATGGCATAGAACTGGCAAAAGAACTAAAAAAAATTACAATAGAAGATAACGACTTACTCATCTCACGTGACGTCACATCCCTGTTCACAAAAACACCAACTCCCAAAAAACCATGGACAGTGAACAGAATCAGACAGGACAAGACTTTACACAAAAGTTGTCCTGGATATGAGCTGTTTAAATTCCAAACACACATTAGGTGTGCAGCTCCTGAGCCAACACTACTAGTCCCATCAGTCGAGGAACGAAAGGTCAGAAGCTCCCTAGGAAGAAAAGTCTGGAATAAATGTGAATTTTAAACAAATGTGGCAGGTGCCAGTCAGACAGGCTGGGGGAGGAGGTAGGTGTGGTGCGTGCAGCTTCCTAACGTTTCCAACTCTTCCTGTTGGTTCCTGAGCCAGAACCAGAACTACCTGGGGGCAGAGAGGGATCCGAGTAAACAAACACAATAAAATGGTTTCATCTCTGTACTAATTATCAGTCAAAATTAAAACCTGGATCATATTTCTGAGGGTAGTGCCTCACTGAGTTTATGTCATGAGTAAATTCAGAGTAAAAGTGTTTAACAAAGATTAAAAACCTGCATTTGTGTGTTTTTATTCAATCACAGACAAATACTTTCTTATATGTGTTAACTGCTTATCCTAAAAAAGGAAACCAACCGTCCTACAAGATTTCAATGCAAGTGTTGTAAGAAAAATGGATATTTTTGTTCTAGACGGAATCATTTAACAGAAAAACTGGAATATCTTTATTTCTTTGGGATTACAAACAGGTCAGAGTCCATATTTAAACCATAACTTGCAGGAAACTGTCCTGAAACCTTCCAAATGCATTTGTCGAAGGTCTGAAGACGAATAAAACTCTGAAGCTCATAAAGGTGGAAAACAAATCCAGTAACAAGTATGAGAAACTAGAGTTGGGTCATTTGTAAAAGGTTTTTACACAAAGTGAGAGTGTTTAGCAGCAGGAGGCGGAGCTTCTTGTTGACTCAGCTGCTGACTGAACTCAGTGACACCAGTGCATTTGCGTGCAGTGTCAGAAAACCAAAGTATTGCCTTAGTTTGGTGTAAACGCGAGTCTGGCTGAAGTCAAACTGAATCAAGGTTGGAAACCAACTCCTCTACATGTTAACAGCTCAGTCGAGCTGTGACCGGTTGGGACACGCCCCCTTTCGGAAGTGGAGACAGTGAAGCAGTGAAGCAGTCTGATAATCGCGTCACCACAAAGGACCACGTATAACGCCATCAAACAGTGCAGTACGTACCAAATGCAGCATAGTTGTTGTCCCTTCCTTTGGCCGTTGTGCATATCCTGTTTTAACTACGTCTTCTTCACTCCCGCCAGCGTTTGTTTACTAACCGTGTTGCTATAAGCTAGCTGGAAGAACACCTACACCAAAGAGCGCCATGTTCATACTAGGGATTAGCGAGTACGCCACTATCTGTATCTGTTCAACCATCTAAATGATCTGTATCTGTACTCGGAGTGGGTGTGGCCTAACCCGGAAGTGGGTGTAGTTTAACCGGAAGTGGGTGTGGTTTACATCAATACGTTATTTTAAGTCTGATCAGAAGTTGCTATGTGTATTGTTTATTTACAGAGCAGCCTCAGAGTTGAGATTAAATGTTTTTGATCACAATAGTAAAGAAACTATTATAGAACAAGTTTTTCAATAAAATCAGAACATTAATATTGAGAGAGAGAGAGAGAGAGAGAGAGAGAGAGAGAGAGAGAGAGAGAGAGAGAGAGAGAGAGAGAGAGAGAGAGAGAGAGAGAGAGAGAGAGAGAGAGAGAGAGAGAGAGAGAGAAGAGAGAGAGAGAGGAGATGAGAGAGAGAGAGAGAGAGAGGAGAGAGAGAGAGAGAGAGAGAGAGAGAGAGAGAGAGAGAGAGAGAGAGAGAGAGAGAGAGAGAGAGAGGAGAGAGAGAGAGAGAGAGAGAGAGAGAGGAGAGAGAGAGAGAGAGAGAGAGAGAGAGAGAGAGAGAGAGAGAGAGAGATTTAGATAGCGCCTCTCAAGATAGCGCCTCTCAAGATAAAAATCACGGGGCGCTTCACAAAAACAAAACATGTAAAATAGGAAAAAAAATTAGAAAATGATTAAAATATATTTAAAATTAGCAAAAAATAGACATTGTGATAAAAAAAATGTAAAGAAAGAGCGCGAGTGAATAGGAAAGAGGGAGTGGATCCTGAGTAAGAGGAAAGAGAGAGAGGGGAAAAAAAAACCCGACCAGAGTGGAGGCAGTGACTGACGCAGCACGAGCCGTTTTCAGCTCTGTCTTGTCAAATGTACCACGTATGTTACGGAAAAAGTAACTTTAAATAACTTTAAAGTAACTTTAAAAAGAAGCAAACTGAAGAAAACATGGGAGTACTGAAGAAACGTGAACAGTGAAGCAAGCACAGAGATCCGTTAGTGTGTGTGTGTGTGTGTGCGCGTGCGCGCGTGTGTGTGCGTGCGTGATGGACCGGATGCGGACTGAGCTGTGAGCTCCCGCTGCAGTTTTGTGTAGGGAGGGGCGGGCGCTCTATTTGACTGGCCAATCACAGAGCGGGAAGACAGTCAGTTACCCAATGAGGATTTTCCTTCAGCACGATTACAGATATTTACGAGTTTTACTCGTTTCATGCTCGTACTCGTCAAAAATGCTTTATCCGGGGGCTCATCCCTGTTTCATACTAAGAAGATTCAAGACAATCGGATGTATTTCAGTTGTTAGGCCCGAGCAGTGAAGCTGCGAAGGCCTATTGTATCTGCTCCGTTTATTATTAGGCCCGAGCAGCGAAGCGCTGCGAAGGCCTATTGTATCTGCTCCGTTTATTATTATTACGCTTTCTTTTTTCTTCCGCGTCTTTGGGTGGCCTTTAGGGGGTCTTAGCATATCCAAAAAGTCACCAAATTCTGGCCCAATATAGAAAGTGCGTGAAATTTACGTATTTCACTGGCGATGTGAAAGTTGATAAAAAAGTGGCTCAACAGTGCCCCCTAAAGAGTGAAAAATACCCCTCTCCATAAAGCTTAGTTTATCGTACAGTTATGAAATTTGGTATACTGGTACTACTCAACAGTCCGCACAGAAAAGCCTCTTGCAACCATGGTCAATATAAAACAGGAAGTCGGCCATTTTGGGTTGAAATGGCGATTTTTAGCCGTTTTGGCCATTTCTAGGGTCTATATTTGGTTGAACAGTTTCGTCATTTTTCGTACCATAGTCTCAAAAATAGTGTGCCATCGAACAGAAGCGATGGACGATTCAAATGAGAAAATAAAATTGACTTTTCGTAAATACTGAAGGGGCGGGGCCAGGCCTCAAAGTTCGAGCACTCGCCAAAAAAATTCAAATTGCTATAATTTCACAAATTAAAGAATTACAGTTAAAGTAACTTTCTATGGATAATCGTCATCGCCCCCCGAAGACAAATGAATGGTCGCTGGATGATGTCACACAAGCCCCGCCCCCTCAGGACTTAAAACGTCAAGTTTTACTGGGAAATTTTCCAAAATTCGCCCTGTCGAATAATCAGCCCGAATTTGTAGCAGGTAACTGAAGAGAAGTTGGCGTTGCTTGGCGTCACTTTATGGGTGTTTTCTGCAGAAGGCGGGGCTGTAGCGACGCAGCGAAGTCAGGCGTACCGCCGTGGCCATACATGTGCCTCCCATGTCGTCATTTCTATAGATACAGTCACGAAACGTCTTGTGAGTGATCCTAGTCCGGCCCCCCAAAAGATCTCATGTGAACATCAAATGGGCGTGGCCTATTTTCTGAAATAGCGCCCCCTAGGTCCATTAAAACTGTCAGCCCCAAGCCATGCTTTGACTGAGGAGTACGAAATTTGGTACACTAATGTGGGGTCTCAGGACCTACAAAAAAGTCTCTTTGAGCCAAGTGCAAAGTCGCACAGGAAGTCGGCCATTTTGGTCCAAGTACTCGATTTAGTGGTTTTCACACACGTTATTAGGAGAATGATGTCTCGTCGTCCTTTCCACCTATCACCTTCAAACTCCTGCTATATAATCTTAAGACATAGAGGAAAAAATTCAACCGTCGGATTTTATACAAGTATAAAGGTGTGGGCGTGGCTAAGCCTCAAACTTTGACCTTTCGCCATTACATTACTTGACTTAACAACTCCCATGTGCATGATCAGATCTATACCAAACTCTGTCTGTGTGATCATTGACCACATCTCAAGACAATGACAATGTGGACAGCTGACATCACCTATGCCCCGCCCCCTGACTACAGGAAGTCTATTTTTTTATGGTGAAATGCCCATATTTGTCCCCTCTACTTTAGTCAACATGACACTAAGGTCATGCACTGTCTTCATGATGTTGTAATGACCATTCAGATCTGATAGCTTTTCAGAAAGGGAAGGGCTTTGATGCCACGGCGAATTCTGGCGTGACGCCGTGACCTTACGTTTGACTGTAACTTCCACTAACAACCTCCGATCTGCCCGAGACTGAACATGGCAATCAACAATCATGCCCTTTATTCAACGAGGCACACACGGGTTGTGAACGTTGTGTAATGTCACCACAGCACCCCCTACACACCATTAAAACTGTAATAACTCCTACAGACGAGGTCGTAACTGCATCAAACTTGCTATGTGTACTCACACAATGGCACCCACCACAGTCCTGTGGTAAGTTGTTGATATTGCTTTAGCTCCTCCCCCTGACAGATATTAGGCCCTGAATAACACATGCATGATGCAATTCACACCAAACTGCACACAAATGACTGTCATCAACCTACAAACTTCTTCATGGAATAATTCTTAAATTTGGGACAGCGCCCCCTAGATACAAAAAACCTTTGTAACTTCTGCAAAAAAGCTCCAAACGACATCAAACATTGTGGGAGTCATCACACATCTGCAATCAACACATGTATGTGATCACTTGTTCAATTCAGTTTAACTCCACCCACTTACAGCTTTTTGTCTCTAGATGACCCATGCAACGTTTGATTGATTCCAAATTAACAGAAAACCATCTTTGATGACCAAAGATGACCTCTATGGCATTTACTTGTAAATGGTCACAACGCCCCCTAGATGGGTTCAAACTTTATTAACTTCTAAAGTCAAAGTCAGAATGACATTATACTTGGCTTGTGACATCACGTGACTGCACCAAACACATTGATGTGGTTGTTGGTTCAAATCCCTGTAGCTCCGCCCCTTTCAGCTCACTGG